GCGATGTCTATCTATCTATTAAGTACAATAAAATGAATATTATTTCTATCTTCTCAATAAAACACTGTTGTTGTACCTTTATTTCCATGTAATTACTATAATTCTAATAATAATTATAGATACTATTGAATAATTTCTTTGACTTTAAGTTTTAACCCTTCATATTCTTAATTTTAAATATTAATACAACCAAAATTTTACATAAATGACAACACACTTGTAGTCCTAATTTGATAGTAGATATTTTTAGCCTATTTGATCGGAATGTTGTGTATACTGTGTATCGTCTAAAACTTTATTATATCCGCACAAGGCAGTTCGTTTGTCACTACAAACACGACGAAATTTCGGCAATACCCGTGACACAGTTTGTGTTTCATCAAGCCCTGAAAGGGGCCCGGCACCCTCTATTCAAGAGAGGATGAACAAACAACCACTCAGATCACGTGTGTTTGCAAATCCCTAATATCATCCAATCAGTGCCAAGGTTCAGGCTACCGTTGGAATCGCGTACACTAATCCTTCATAATTACGTTTTGAACATGTTTTATGACAGATAGATACATACATACATAGATAGCTGCCATACGGCATTAAGCTCTCTCCTTGTACAAAAGTTTTTTTTTGTTCAATAAAGAAATAGAAAAAATTATCGGCTTCTATCTTGACCAAACTAATGACCATCACAAATAAAAACTGTTGTCGATGCCATAGGAATTTAGAAAATCGGTTTGCAATATCGTAAATCAGTAAGGCCAATAGTTTAAATTGTTATAACATTGCCAGCATTTTCAGAATGATTTAGGTTGTATGTTCGTATCTTAAAACATATGTCCGAGTAATTTTATATAAGTATAAGTATTACTTACTCGCAACTATTTGTGATCATACCATATATCTGCCTATATTTGACTTGTTAATTAGTACATTAGGTATTATTTTATAGTTTGTATTTGTACGATTTGTAAATGATTGTCTATACAATTATTTGTTTGAAGTTATTGGGATAATTATTAATAAATAGGTCATTAAAAAGGCGTTGTATCTTTGTGTTCTAACATTCGTCTACTTCACTGGTTAAAACTTTAAAACAATACCATGTCATCAAATTAGGTAATAAATATTTTCAAATACTCTAGGGAGCTCTAATTTTTATGAAAATATAATACAATTTCTCTTATTCGCTGATAATGTAACATTTTTTGATTCGGTAAGTATTTTTGGGTTCATATAGAAACAAAAATCCAATCATTCGAATTGTGTTATAACATATCATGTCTATTAATTTATGTATTAAAGATGTACCAAATCAAATTCCGATATAATATTATAACTCTTAGCGAGTTTGGTTATTGGTTTGTTTTTCTACGAAGTGATTCGGAGACAAAAATATATTCAATGCGCTTCTCATTATGAAGCCTTATTTACTGTTTTATTGAGTTCCGTGGTTTTTATCGTCGTATGCAAGGTTAAAAATTACTAATATTTATACTTCAAAATTCAACGAATACTTAAGATATAAAAAATTACACCCGTATATACCGTGGTATACTGTTATGAAGAAGATGGTTGTATAATAAATTGTAATGTATAATTTAAGTGAATATTTACTGGTATCACCTTTAGGGTCTCACAGCATAGGGTATAACAGCGGTCTTTCCCTGTGAACTTACATCTACTTATTATCAAGAAAGAGATTAATTCCAGACGAAACTAGTTGAGGAAGCTTCTTCATCGAATAACATTATCAGGCAGGGTACAGTAGCCTTATTAAATGTGGGGTTGTGATAGCAAAGATATTATGTCCTCAAGGTTGAAACCTTTCCTTTCCCATTCCTCACTGATTTTTTTAACAAGTAGTTATATATTACAACACTTCGAATAGTTTTCGTTCTGCTGTGTTTTATTTGAGCTAAATTTAGGTATACATAAACTTGTTCAACGTATTTTAAGAGTTCATTTTCGTCTTGTGCTTTATAGACCAAAATATCATGCAACTGCATTCGAATGAAAAATTAGATTTATGAATAATAATTATTGCCACTAAGAAGAAACTAATGTATATCACAATATTATCATTAATTAAGTTAATTAACCTACAGTTCGTAGATACACAGGTTATGATAACAATAACAAAATTGTTAAAAGACTTGTTTAATTTTATACTATAGCTGTACTATGATAACTGTTCAAAACTAATTATCTCATATTATTGAATAAGTAGACAAATTTACTTGAAGTGAAGTTCTATTGATATTACTCAAGATACTTATTCCGATACCAAGCGCCTATCCTCCAGAAACAAAATATGAATTATCCAGCCCTTTTTAAGTTGGAAGTTGTAGGTGAATTTGCAAGTTGTAGTAGAATATACAGGTTACCCTAAAAAGAATGAGTAATATTTGCGAAGTTGATAATTCTTAGTTTGCGTTTTATTTTATTTAATGGAAATAAATACAATAAATAAAATATCAATTGGAAACATTAAATAAAGTACAACCCAAAAATAACTAAGTTCTCATAATAGTGGCATTGTATGTATATGAATATCACTTCTCGCAAAATTGTTATTATTGTTACACTTCCCACAACTGGAGGGAAGTGATTACTTGCGTCTTACGTATGTCACTTGTATCTATCCTAAAGGTTACCTGGAACAGCCTTTGTCTTGTAAATTATGTTTTTATACATAATTATGTATGTATTTGTATAAATATATGTAGTTGTTCATATAAAATGTGAGAAAAACATCATTCATTCATAAATATTTTTCTAGATAACATGAGGATACAATGCGGATCGAGATTGTTTAAACTATAATACATAGAAGTGATTCATATAAAGGCTATCTCGCTTCTCGTTTCATCTCAATAAAATTTCACTCAATGAATCTACATTTTATACTATAATTATAATTTCTACACACACTTGGGATTTCATTCTAGGCTCACCAGTTTTTATTAGTAATGAAGTTGGATTTTTATTATAATGAACTGGACATAATTTGCTTACAAATAGGTAAATCGTTTATATCATTATTGTGTAGACATCTTTAATATTTTATGATAAATTCTAGCCACTTATTTCCACGCGATGTAAACATTTGAATATTTTTTTAAAATGTCCCATAAATTATTATATTAATCACATTAGTTATTTTTTGATAACAATTCTAGTTGAAACTAACTTAAATAGAACAAATTGTTGGATTTTCCGTAAGACCAAATATTCTGATCATAAATTCAAATTGCAAGTCAAACTCACAGCAAGACCACAACATATAGTTAGCGCTTTCACATCCATACATACGTTGTAGTATGTTAAAATAATTTGCAAACTTGTTAGATGTTCAATATCTATTCGTAACCAGAACAACTTTAATGCGAGCATAGGTTAGGTATTTCGCTTTGCTACGTTCACCTTTTTTTTTCCTTTACCTTTTCAACGTCACGTCTTTGAAAAATTGTGTAAGTGTGTGACCTGTGCAAATCAAATCTTGCTTGCTCATAATTAATCCGACCAGTCTTCAGGCGGCTACTTGCAGTGGCCGAAAAATCCCTGAATAGATTTCATATTCAACAATTCCTTACAGACTTATTCATTTTTAAAATACGGCATGACTTCTTGCCATGATGGTGCACCGTTATAGACAATAGTCCACCTCCTGTCCTGTTTTCTTATCACATGAATGAGTACTATGGACATCACACATTATCATTTGACAACCGTGATGTCAAACCTTATATTATGTTTCGCTTGTAGCCACTGTTTATTAATTTCCAAAAATATCTGAACACAGACTCAGACGTATTTTAATAGTCTATATTTTGGCTATAAATTAAAAAATGTTTTTACTATCACTCAAATATGTTTTATCAGTAGATTTATTATAAATAATATATGTATAATAGATAACTCTAACAATATCGGTACGAACGGGTCACCAGTATATATAATATTGTGCAGGTTTAGTTTATCTATTTTTTTAATACCTCGTATACATATATTTAAATATAATACAGACAGTATTTCTCATTTGTGTCTGCCATAAGTTTTGCTTTGCGTTGTTCACTATTCACTACATGGGAAATGAAAACTAATGGCACAGAGAACACGGACTGTATTAGTAGAGCTAACTGACCTGTTTATGTTACCATGTAAAGCCTTTATTACTCGTATGTTCTTGTTCTTTTTTATGTAAAGCTATTAGGTACCCACGTGAAAATTTATTTTTAGTTAGCGTATAAATTGAATATATTGCACAATATGTGTTAACATTCTACGAAACGGAGTAATTTTCAAAGAGATGTTATACTCTGACATCTTAGTATTATTTTATTTTATATTAAATTATTTATTAGTATATCATAAATTCATAATAATTTCACTTGAATTCATATAGATGTTTGATGCCCTAAACTACCCTATATATTAAATATGTACTTGATTTTCTTTAAATAATTTAACATTATAAATTAATATTTATAAATGAACTAAAAATTATTACTCTATATATCTTTAAATTATATGTTATTTTTTACTTAAAAAGGCTGGACTAATTGTGCTGAAAATTTTGCATTATAATAAGCTAAATAAAATATAAAATTTTCATCGGAATGATAAGTCAAGCTGTTTTTTTATTAAATTTCGCTAAAATGTGCAAATATTGTTTTACGTAAAGAATAGTTTTAGCTAAAATCTTTACTATTCACAGCACAAGCAATAATAATATATATGTACACGCGTACGACATAGAGGGCACACTTTAATCAATGTTTTACGAAAGTAAAACATTGATTAAAGTGTGCCCTCTATATAAAATTATTTTCCTTAATTATATAAATTTTATGAAAATAAAATTTATATAATTAAGGAAAATAATTTTCTAAGTTAGGTAATAGGAATATTGAAGTCTTTTAAATTTAACAATATTTATTTTATAAGTTTACAGAAGATACTTTTAAACAATAAAAAACTTACAGTTAAGTTTTTATGTACACTATCTATAAACATCTTTATACCAAGTTGAATAATCAACAAAATTAGTAATAGTAATAAAAAAATTAAAGTATCTAAATTTTATTATATATTCAGTAAGGAAAAAATTGAAAAAAAGTTAATATATTGAAATAAGAATAAAATCCTTACAGTAAAATTTCCCCGTTATCTATGACATAAATAGAACCTGTGATGCTCTTTGCTCGATCACTTGCAAGATACAGAATTAAATCAGCAACATCTTCGCTTTCCGCCATTTTACCAAGGGGAAGAGTTTGTTCACGAGCTTTATACAATTCATTCTGCTGTTCTAGCGTCAAACCGGCGGCTTGCGCGAATGGCGTCCTGGTTGCACCAGGATTAACGGAATTCACTCTAACACCATCCCGACCAAGTTCTGCGGCGACGCATTTAGTGATTTGATCCAAAGCAGCCTTAGATGTACAGTATGGCAAAAAGTTCATGTCCCTTATAGGTTTGAATGCGGCTACGCTTGAAACATTAACTATATTTCCTTTTGTCTTAACGAGATAAGGAGTAGCAAGGCTAGTCAAATAGTATACGGCTCGGACGTTTGTACTCATCACACGATCATAAGGTTCAATACCATCACGGATAGAGCCCTGAACTCCAACACCTGCATTATTCACCAGCACATCTATACGTCCGTAGACGTTTATTGTTTGATCAATGATATTTTTCAAATCGTCGTCCACACTGAGTTCAGCTTTAACTATCAAAGGCTTGATTCCTTTAGATGTCTCACATTTTTTAGCAACATCTTGCAATGCTTTTTCATTTCGGCCAACGAGAACTACTTTAGCTGATTGGTTAGCGAACATAAGCGCTGTAGCTGTTCCTATGCCAGAACTAGCTCCGGTTATAATCACTACTTTGTTTTTAAAATCCATTGCGACAAGCGGTCTTGCTGCAACTAACGTAACAACTGACTGAGCGCACTTTTTGTTTATAGGATAGTAATCATTACTTGACCTTCAAGGTTTATCGGAGACAAGTAGGTACAATTATTATCGTGAACAAGTAACATTGAATATATGTAACTATTGGGTAATAATATTGATACCTAAAATTAAAGAGCAATAACCTTAAATACAACTACATTTTCGATAAAAGTTTGACTTAGGTACTTAGTTATCTACTTTGAATAAAAAGGGTGAAATGTGTTTATATTCAATGCCTGGATCATAGTAACATACCTAATATTATATGAGAAAATTTATTTATGGAATAACATAAACTGTTTTTGAGTATTTTTAATGATTTTATTATATAAAAATTGTAAAAGAGACTAATTAAAATGAAAGTCTAATAGAATTTTTATATTAACAAAAAATAATAATATTTGTAATAATATTTTCAACTGACTGTACATTAAAAGCAGAGGTAATTGAAGTTAGATAATATAATGAATAAAACGACGTTTACATAAAAACAAAACTTATATTTACTATCCTCATTCACTTAGTTTATTGTTTTTTTAATCGAAATAAAGTCTATGTCCGTCCTTGTGGTAGAATCTAATCTTATGTTACATTTTATTAAGACCCATTCAGCTGTGTGTTTATTGAAACCTAACAAACAGACAGACTGTATACTTCAGAATTCATAATATTAATGTGGAATAAAATGCGTATACATATTTACATGATCACAAATTTTCGGAATGTTAATTTTTTACACCAACATTGTTTATGCTAATAATTTCGGTGTAAAACTTGACAAGTTACGTTAGTTGTGATATTTGAAAGGAATGCTAAATGATTTCGACGTGTATATATACCTATATATGCATATACATAAAATTAAAATAGATGATAATTTTTATTACAGGCGAAGGCCTACACTGACTTATGATCAGATAAATATAGAATTTTAAGAAGCTAAGATCTCCCGGTACCGTTGTAAACTCATATTGCGGTAAAACGAAATAAAACTGAATAAACAAATTTTTATCTTGCTTACGTCTGTAAAATATTACTCGTTTCTCTCTTACTTATAGGGTATTATAAGAGATTAAGAGTAAATATTGCTATGTACTTACGTAAATTTCTTAAAATATATTCACTGTAATTTAATTTTATAGTTTGGTTGTAGAATTATTAAATTTCTTCTCCCTGTATATTTAGAATGTAAAAATTATATGTATACGGTACTAGGAACGCCCTACATTTAAACTGGTTTATAAATATAAATTAGTCATTATTAAACATCATAGAGGTAAAGTTAATAGGTATTTTATGGACAATACAATTCTGTAATATAAAAGGATAAATATAATAAAGTATGGAAAGGTACTTATTTCCGTTCTTCCATTTAATATTTTTTATTTTTAAGTAATACATATCTAAAGTGTAGTATTATGTTACAAACGATATATTTACGTGACAAGCATTTAATTTCCATATATATTTATTTTTTATAATTTTTGATAGCGCAAAATTTTTGTATGACTTAATCATATATAGTATTATACTAAATAGTAGTTATATATATATATATATATATATATATATATACTACTACTATACTATTACTATATAGTAGTAGTAGTAGTTAAATGATACGAAAATTTCAAAAATAGATATATGCATTTATCATTTCGTTGATTTTGGACTTAGACACCTAGTAATAAACATCACATTATCTTATTTCCAATTTTAACTAGCAAACACGTCTCAGGCACGATGATATCTTTTTTTTTTCTTGAATGCTAAGAAATAAAAAAAAGAGTAGTTAAATCTCCGAAGATTCCATAATGCATAATAGCGCTAAAGCTTGTGTTTACTAATTACTTAAATACATTTTTTTTTGTTAAATACACATATATATATATATATATATAATAAATATATACGGTACAAACAATCATAGTCATGAATACAAATGTTTGCATCGTATCAGGAATTGTACCCGCGATTATAAGAAGTTAAACCGCTGGACCACAGAGGCCGCCAAACATGTTTAATCTATAAAAAGGTTTTATTCCATCTATACCAGATCTAGTACCATCATCCATTATATTTTTGAACAATCTTATTGTTAGATGCATATAAGGCGTCCTCACCGATTACGATTTTATAATACAAACAGGGGAGGTTTGGTCGAAAAGTGGTATCATTGGTGGGAAAGATGGTAAAAGAAAGATGGGGAAAGATGGTGGTCTCTTGGGTGAAAAGATGGTACGCTTGGTGGGAAAGATGGTACCCCTGGTGGGATGGAATAGAGAGAGAGAGTAGACATGGTAAACACAAACTCTGGTATATTGGAAGCTCATTTGCTGTAGGCTATCCGAATAGCACTTCATGTCTGCGGGAGGATGTTAGGTGTATATACGGCCTCCTCACCGATTACAATTTTATAATAGTTGTTGTCAAAATACTGATTGACATTATTGTAAATATATTATAAAAGGAGACAATAGAATTATTCTGCTGCAAACATATATATTATTTATTAGTAAACATATCATCTCACATATCATCTCAACAAAAAAGAACCCCACCACAACACTTATATTCTGAAATTAAATTATTTATAATAATCTGAAGATTTCTTTATAGTGTTAGTATGTAATATTATGTTATCTGTGGTATTAGCCTTTACCCGTAACTTTGTCTTCTTTTATTTTTAATTAAAAAATTACCTGTCTTCGTAATAAGATATATATTATTTTATATTTTATAGACTATATAAGATAATATTATAAAAATGCACACATACAGATAGACAATCTTTCAAATTTATAACATCAATATGGGTTTATTATCTCTACGATACACAATAAAATATCTTTTAAAACTGAAGAGAAGTCATATCTATATGATAAATCTCTAGTTACAGATTACAGGCGAAATACATATATATGACGGTCTCGTGGAATATTATATCACTGTAATAAAATATACTATCATTCCATTCGTATTCGAATAAAATGTTATTACGTAATATCTTAGAATAATATGTATTTTATAAAACACATTAATAATGCAGGACCCGGTTAATCCATTCATCCTGACTTCCCTATATCGAGGGCAAACTACGTTATATGTCGGTTCCGTGGTATGCCATTTACATGAATGATTATTCAGAGGTAGTTACTTCGACGGTCTTTTAGCATTGAACTTTGAACTTTAACTGCTTTTATTTAAGTTTTAAATTCTCTGATAGAGATCCCGAACTATTTCTAAGTTTATCTGTGCAATACGGATTGGAAGCATTGTTCGAACCCGTTAGCCTAACATGCCGTATGGAGCATTCGTTAACCGTAAATAAATAGAGTTCGCAATATTTGATTTCGCCGTCTGTCATTATTTAAACTGTACATTGTTCAATTTCCTTTTTTTATACGCGTATGATTTCTGTATAGTGCGTAGATCTATACACATAAATAAAATCGGAGTGTCTGTTTCTAATATTGAAATAACCGTTTTTTACTACATGCATATGAATATAAATACATATACCAAAATGACATTTTCTACTATTTTTGTCTATCTGTCTGTCTCTCTGTTTATTACGGCTAATCTCTGAAATGGCAGGACCGATTTTGATGGAACTTTTTTTAGCAAGTAACTGATGTAATAAGGATTAACTTAAGCTACTTTTATTTTAGAAAAATAAAGTTAAATTCCACGCGACAAAGTCGCGGTACCGACGATTTAGTCTGTAATAAAATTTTTAGTTAATGATGTTAATGACAATATGAATAAAAAATATATTTCCGTTGTTGATGTCATTCTGCGGATGGAGGTCTGGTAGTTCTATACTTGTGTTTGTCACCTAACACCATGTAAATGGTTGGATCGATTTGAATTAAATTTTGAGTCTATATTCAGGATAGAATCACGTTTTGCAACGTATGCATGTATACGTTAATACAGAAAGCTGAAAGATTTGATTATTTGCACGTTCATTACTGAAGTACTAATTAGTCAAAAGTCAGAAAACTACTTGCCCATCCAGGTTATGTAACTATACTGTGAATCAGGACACGATTATACTCTCATTAATGAGAGTGCTAATCATAAATATATATAGTAGTAACAACAAGATATTATATACTCGTTTGAGTACCCAATCTAATATTTTCTCCAGCTGTATGATTATAACAAAAATATAACATTTATTTCGTACTAGCTGTTCCTGCGGTTTTATCCTCATGAAATTTATAGTCCATGTGTTATTACTATAAAATTTCATCACAATCCGTTAAGAAGTTTTTGCGTGAAAAAGTAACTAACATCCGTCCATCCATCCACCATTCATACTAATACCACAGATAACATAATATTACATACTAATACTAACTTTCTTGTTTATTAGTAAGATATTTATTGTTATAATGTAATATTTACGTATAGTCGTATACCTAACCTAGTTATCAGAATTCGCACTAAAATAAACCTAACCACGCACAGCGGGCAATCCTTGGCAAAGAGACGCGCGGTGGGTGGCGACATCCGTAAGTTCGGATCTTATCATAAATCTTTGTGGCCCCGCGATGGATCACTCGTCTCGCGAACCACCCTTCTCTGCCCTCATCATTTATACTTTATTATTGGAGGCTTATGTACTTGCACACCCCTTTCTAATAGCCGGCCGCGTGGTATTTTCTTTTCGGGTTGTTTCGCTGGAAAAAAATCCGTCTACGAGCTTAACGCGCTATTTGTTATAATTGGAGACGAGAACTTTTTTCCTTTAGAAATATATGAGTATAATTTGTCATTCTATGTTTGAGTCTAATATAAAATATTACACTATATTAAAGTATTCCCATAAGCCAGTATCAGTAGAATAGTTTCGATAACGTATTTTATTTGAGTATAATCTTAATATAATTATGAAATGCTATCCCTACCTTGCTTCACACATATTGTTGCTATCTTGTTTTTTTTAAAGAAAAAACTACTCTAT